ATTAATACGACTTAATGTGCTTCTTTGAAAAATAGACATATTGTTTTATAGTCTGGATTATTAAGTGATTAAATAGTAAACAGATACATTGGACAAGTATATTAAAAACCATTGTGTGCTCTGCCTCTCCATAATTAGTGGCTTTTCAAATAAAATATGAATCCCCATTATTGCTTTAAAATTCTGAAAAAGATTATTTAATCCAAAGACAATACAAATGGATGCACTTAAAATCTAATTCTCACCAATTCTTTAAAGCTTCTAAACTCCTAAATTCCATTCTCTGGAAGAGAATAATAAAGTGGTGTATATCAACAACACTTTATTTAAAAATATTATATTAAGCATAAAGTGTTCTTGTTTGGTTCAAAAGCAATTTATCCATGGAATTCCATGATTAGCAAAAAAGGCTGAATAAGGTTGCATCTACTGTAACGTGAAGATACAGCAGTGCTAACATTTCTTCTATGTACCTATAAAAATTCAACGTTATCAAACCAAATCTACTGTAGAGTTATGTTTAATTATGTTAATCAAAATAAGTTCTTTACTCTGGCAAATATTTGCCCCTCTTAATCAGCTGATACATCAGGGATCCAGTCAGTTTCTGCTGCTTCTGCCTCAAACATCCCATCATCTGCTGTGGTGTAGTGCTCTTGAAACATCTGGCTTTCACAGTTTTCATGTGCGCCTTTCTGACTCAAACAGAAGCCAGTTATGTCTTCATCATCACTCTGTCTTGCATTCCCTGTTTCTGCAGACATCTCACTGTTGTAGGAAGGCATAGGTTTGTGCTCAACAGTCCTGTCTTTAGCACAAGCCAGCTGCTGATATGAAATTACTGGCAATTGTAAATCATTTGTGGGGAACTGTGCTTCTGAACTTCTTCTATTTGTAGCTTCTGACTCCTGTGTTTCTTCTCTCTGCTGCTGTTGGGCTCCGGCACTTAGCTTTTTCTTCAGAGATTTCTTCTCTTGCTTCTGGTGTTGGTCTTGCTTAGAGAATCTCCAATGAAACTGAAAACAGATATAATACAGGTTATGCTTGAAAAAGAAGAAGAGCAGGCATCAGAAGAAATCTTCAACTGCCAGTTTAACATTAATTTGATTTTAAAAAGCTATGTTAGGCAACATAATCTCTGGTTCTTGCTTTTTAAATAGAAGTGATTTTGAAAAAAAAGAGACACTACTTTGAGTATTAGATACTGTTCTACAGAAACATCTTTAAGCTTCTCAAGGAAAAAAAAGGAATTTCCCAGTGTCAACAGCCTTATATCAGTTGTATTTTTAAAATGGGTTAATCGTGATTAAGTGGCTCCAACAAATTATTCTTTTCCTTAAAAGAATGTGATTAGTTCACAAACTAAAACATTTCACTGTAGTTAGAATGTTTTCTTAATAGATGAAAACAGGAAGCCTTATGCAAAAGGAAGGCTTTACAGTGCTTCAAATTTGATTCCGACAGTCTTCCGGAATATGCAAAAGCAGAAACACAGAGCCAATTGGCAACTTGTTACAGCAGCTGCATCTTTCCATGATTCTGTGCTCTAAAGTTCTATTTCAGGATTGATTCTGAAGCCTTGCAAAGACTTAACCAATAGTAAAAACAAAAATGCATTAGATATTGTATCTAACATCTGATGAATGTTTGTGTATTTTATCTTCTTGTGTGGTTCAGTTTGAAGGATTAAGTACTCAATTTCTTGAAAAATACTACATATGGCAAGTGCAAAATAAAAAAAATGGCAGTGGAAAAAATATTCAGTAGGATGTATTATTATACACAACAATATGAAATCACAGCTGTCAATTCTCTAGCTGGTGTTGGACTTCATTTGCATTGAATTATTCCCAAGAACCTCAAATGTCATACTGTATCAGTGTAATACATCTGTAGATCCAAGCATCGTGGCTTTTTGTAATTGACAGATGGAAATTTTGTCAATGAGCAGATTTCTTAAGTGCTATCCAAGTGCTGTCTGGCTGGTTTATGCTATAATCTTTCAACTTCAATTATTATTTTTCAACTTCAATGTATTTTTTTACTTTCAATTTCTTTCAACCTCAATGTATTATATGGGAGTAATCTACAGTTAGATGCATGGTCTAAGACTAGTGAAAACTTAATAATTCAAGTCATAACCACAGTCATAAGAATGATTATGGTAACATCCAAGAATAAATGCAGTCGAAAGGGTGGTGTTTTTTTTTGTAAAATTAGGTTATTTGAGTGATAAATTAAGAAATTTCCTGATATTGCAGGAGTCCTTTAGATATAAGGATACTAATTATTTTTATTATAATGACTATAATAATTATCAAATAGACATAGAATGACTTGACAAAAGAAAGCAAAGATAGTACCAATAAATAACTTGGGTGCCTTGGGTGCAATCCCAAAACTACTGAAGCACCACTTGAACACCACTGGCATTGTCAAAATTCACTATCAGTTAATTGCAAAAGGCAGCTTTACTTGGAATAGCTTACATCTTGTAGCAATATTTCTAATACAGTTAAACATCTGCCTATCCCAGGTACTTGGGAAGGATTTGATACAAAAATGCCAAATCCAGTATGAACATCTGGCTGACTGTGTGACGAACCATAATAGTGGTTCAGAAGTTTAGACTGGATTTGACATTTTTATCCAACTATAGAGTCCTTTCCAACAAATGGGGCTAGGCGTATGTTTGGTGTCTTTCTTGTTTGTTTGTTTATTTTAACACAACCAAGTTAATAGAATTGCTTTCCAACAATTCCTTAACTGATAAATTCTAGCTAATTAAGCTCCCCAAAGAACACTCCTAGCTTCTAAAACAATTAAGGGTGAGACTAGTAGTCTGAATTCCTCCGCACCCCTCATCACTATAGTAGGTTAACTAAACTGGGTCAACATCATGCATCTGAACACTTTCCTCATGCAGCTAACTTGTTCAGTTTGATCCCTTTCACATCCTATTTCTTTTTTTCTGACAGAAATGCTGACATGTGTTCAGTGATCACCTTGCAGCATCACAATTTTACTCAGAGTTTTCTTTCAAATTTCTGTCCATACAAAAGGAACATATAGACAGTTTGTCTCTAGATTTTCTTCTTTAAATAAATCATTCACATTTAACTATGAAAAAGGTTAATGCTACTGTGGCCAGGACATACAAATGATTAATCAGTTCAGAGTAAAATTAGAGTCAGAACAATCTGGGGAGAGTACAGTATAGACTTAGCAATGCTATCAAATCTTGGATGCAAAAATCCACATGACCACTAAATGGCAGCAAAGAAATTGGGGGCCTATACCTGGTACTTTTAGATATAGGGATCAAGTAATGGGGTGGGGGGTCATGACTGATGGAAAAGGAAGGAGCACTGAATAAAATATTTAGATTTCAGGAACTGATTTTGCCCTCTTAATTCAGACTGTACTAATGATCTGGAGAACTAGACCAACTTGATATCACTGCTGTTAAGGATGGAATGCAACTTCTTTAAACTACTCATAGTGGCTTGGTACGCTAAACCCTTCTTTCTTTCTCTTTGTATCACAGTATAGTTGATGCCTCTCAATTAGCCATATGACCGAATGTTGCTTAGTTCTGCTATGTCATGTGCCCAATAATGCAATCATATTATTATTTCTTTGTGAAATGAATCAAACATATAATTTGAATATGCTGACTTCTGATGAAAAGATGGCCAACTAATGACATGCCCAGGAAAGGATCCTTGAAAGGTTTTTTGCTCTGGATTGTAGCTTTTCAAACTTACCAACAGAAGGAATTGGCATTCTTTTAGTTTATATGACTCTCCTGGGTTAGGGAAAGTCCTAGAATTATCTCTCAAGATCCTCCGATACAGCAAAGGTCTGCAAGCAGCTTCAGGAGCTGTGCTTCGAAGCTGCCTGCATGCTGAAAGCTGGAGGTCGGAGATGCAATCAGTCGTTGAAAAAGCAGTCATTTTGGAATTTATTTTTCAAATGGACAATAAGTTGTGCCTTTTATTTCTTAATCATTTTTAAGGACTATTAATTTTTATTAAGCTAAAAGAGCTTTTCTTTTTGTAGATCTACGCCATTTGGGGATTTTTTTCATTGTTGAACAACAAAGAAGACTGCTGAAGGCAAAGAGCCGAGGTGGCGCAGTGGTTAGGGTGCAGTACTGCAGGCCACTTCAGCTGATTGTTATCTGCAGTTCAGCGGTTCTAATCTCACCGGCTCAAGGTTGACTCAGCCTTCCATCCTTCCGAGGTGGGTGAAATGAGGACCCAGACTGTGTGGGGGCGATATGCTGACTCTGTAAACTGCTTAGAGAGGGCTGAAAGCCCTATGAAGCGGTATATAAGTCTAAGTGCTATCGCTAAATGGTCAAAATGATGTACCAATAATGCATAGTCATCTATTGACCTTATCCTTGGTAGAATTTTTTCTTAAATATTAAAAAAGGAATGGAGAAATGTAAAGACATGCAAATTTAGTAGAAAGTAGGAGGTAACATGTAGTATGTAATGAGGGATGCATGTTTGTAGACAGAAGCAAAAATGAATTTTCTTATATGGAAGTGAATAAAGCTCGATATGTTAGAAGAAACAGAAAAGTAAATAGAAGGTAACGTGCATGGAATATTTAAGAAATGCCTGGAGAATAAATCAAGTAAATGGCTAAGGAATGTTCATAGAATAGGGAGAATGAATGATAATCAAATTGCAGAACAAATATATATAGGAAAAGTAAGTATGGATTTAGTTAGATACTTCTTTCTTTTTCCCTGACTTAATTTTTTTCAACATATTCCTTCTTATTGTTTTTTTCTGCATTTGATTTACTGTTGCTAATCTTAAAAGAAAATAGCATGATTGGTATATACATATGTATGTTTTAGATAAATAAATGCATGGCTCCTTTTGGTACATCCCAAAATATTTCAGATGATTTTCAATGATTGTGCATTTCCATTTGCAAAAGCAAAATTCATTCATTCTTTTTTTTTCTTTTTTTGCAACTAGGCCCGGTACAAACAAAGTCTAGATCCTACAGTTGATGAAGTTAAGAAACTATGTACTTCATTGCGTCGAAATGCCAAAGAAGAAAGAGTCCTTTTCCATTATAATGGACATGGTGTCCCCAGGCCAACAGTGAATGGAGAAATTTGGGTCTTTAATAAGGTATATGAATTGCAAATTGAGCTAAATTGCAGTCTCTCTTGTACATTTATATTTCCTGGGAATCCAATATAGTATAAAACAATAAAAAGCAAAATGTTAATGTTTGATTATCTAGCTGTTTGTTCATTCTTTTTGTGTACCTTGAAGCAAAATTATGATTATGTCATAAAAGCAAAAGGAATATTTTTTAAAAGTGGACATTGTACCATCTGCATTACAAAGCATGTTTTTATTACCTATTTGCTAACTAGCTTGTCAGTATTGGTCAGGTCTGGTGAAGTTTATTTTAGCTATTATTAGGATTATTTTAAAGATTTGAATTCAAGGATATGATGGATAACTGTTTTGCAATATCTTTGCTTCTCTGTATGCCTTCTTCCAAAGAAAGATGGCAAAATACCCAAAGCAGGAAAAAAAATCACCCTAGCCCTAAGAGCATTTTGACTGTAAGGAATAAGCATAAACCAGCAGTGTCCCACCTCAGTTGGTTCGACTTAGCTAAAAACATCTGTCTAAAAAGTTGATAAAAACTGCAGCTGCCTGTTCTGACTGACTCATGCGAGATAGTGCTTAAATTAAAAAAAAAAAAACCTTCACTATCTGCCAGCTACTTTAAAGTGAGCACACTCTGAATTGTTGGTGTTAGCTTCTCAAGTTCTAAATAGCTTAAGACATTTCTCCCTGGGGACTGTCTGACTGTTAAGATCTCGACAAGAATTCCTTTGGAAGAAGCCTCCATTTTCTTGAGAACTGTCTTTCTGATATGAAAGCTGCAGGGTAGTGGAACACGTTCACTTGGGAGTTGTCTTTGTCTCCTTTTAGCCAAAGATTTAACAACCTGTCAATATGCGTCTCCTTTGCCAGGTTCTAAATGTTAAACTATTTTTTTCTGCCTCTTTCAGTATTTATGTTATGTTGTTAACTTTTTGTTCTTTCTAATTTTATTAATTGACTTGAGTATTGTTACAATAGACAGATGGTTAAAATACTCTCCACTCATGTTTATTTAGAGTAATGGTAATTTGAGTGTCCATTGTGTTGTGGGGGAGGGCGGGCAGCACAAAGTACAATTTATTTTAGCATCTATTGTTTATTTCTGGCAATAAAACCACTATGTTTTGGTGCTGGTTGAAAACCCCTGCCTTTATTTGACTAGGTCCAAAACCAGAAATCCTTCTTATTTCTTGACTGTTTTGTCATGTTGCTCACTTACCAAGTAACAGATATTTGTCTGCTTTTCTGACATTAATGCAGGAATACCTATTGCAGACATACTGTAACTCTTAATGAGATGCCTGATCCACAGGGAAACCCCATCCACATGGAAAACAAATGATTAGTGAGGCTTTTTCATTAAGTTTTTCATCCCCATCCCACTTCAGTTTGCTGAGGAAATGCCAGCAAGTATTTTCACATCATTGACAAAATAGGGGAATTTATTGGATGAGTAAATTCTGTCTAGGGAAATATTCTAGAGAGATAGATTATAGGAAAAGTCATTTATACCCAAATGGTTAGCTAAAATATCTTCAAGTCTGAACTTCTCATAAGTATGTCAGTCTACAGACTCTTGGTGGTGCAAAAATAATAACAAAATGTATAAGTGAAGGGCTATTCAGGCAGAAGATGACCAACACCATTGTACATGCTGGCATTTGCCACTTTCACAATTAGACATTAATAATCAATTTGATCCAGGAGACTAATATCCTCCCCCCCACAAAAAAAAAATTATTCAAAGAAACCAGGAGAGACAAGGATCCAAGTCAGAGGTAGACAAGGTCATCTTAAAAAGCAAACTACCCATTTCCTCAGAGGTAACAAGCCAAAAGGAAAGCCAATTGCCTTGACAAGATGATGTCCTTGTCACTGCACAATGCTCTGCTCAAGTGGAGTCCAGATCCAAGTGAATTTGAGTGACTTTACCAGCAAAATGTCAAGCAGCATAATAACAGGGTATCTCCTACCAAAAAGGGCTAGCAGGAAAAGAAGTGCTGGAAAACAACCAGTTGAATATCCCAAAGGTGCTTTTTTTTCAGAAGGCAACTGGACTTTCTTGTTTTTTCTTTTGAAGAAGTTTCACTTCTCATCCAAGAAGCTTCTTCAGGTCTGACAGGATAGTGGGGAAAGAAAAAACAAGAAAGTCCAGTTCCCTCCTGAAAAAAAGCACCTTTGGGACAACCATGACCTGGATGACTGAGAATATCTACAGATTTCCAACCAGTTGAATATTTTGCCTACATTATTGGCCATGGAGTAGACCTGAGGCCACACAGCCATGTTCAGACAAATTAAGTTTTCATTTTTCTCCATCTGCATTTGAAGCATCACTTCTGCCAGTTCATCTCCTGAAAGCCCTTGGAAACCCAACAAGCTACCTACGATGTCTGGTAGAAAGAAGCCATTCAGGACAATTTTGTCAAGGGCCCAAGATACTACTTCATGCTATTGGTAGACAAGGCCATCAGCCAAACCATCCATAATATTATTGTGTTTTTTAAATATATATTTTTTTAATTTTAATTTAAAACAAATATAACATCCTTCTTTATATGCTATAGAAAGTGTATCAGTTGCTTACAAAAAGACTTTCATGCATCTCTTCCATAGTCAACAAACATAATTCATATTAACTTAAGTGTTTTAACTCAAATATTTATACATGTCACCATCATCATATCTCCATTTTCATTT